ATAAGTTGTTTAAAGAATTATGCTCTTTGAGAGAAAATGTCTAACAATTAGGGCTGTAAACGAACCGTTCGTGAACCGTTCGGCGGGAAGTTCGTTTATTTAATAAATGAACGAACATAAACAATTTTTTTTGTTCGTTTAGTTAAACGAACGAACATGAACAAGAGTCTCGTTCGTTCATTTATGTTCGTGAACATTCGTTCATTTATCGTTCGTTTACGTTCGTTTATATATTAAATTTAATATATAATCTTTTATTTATTTACTTTGAATTCAAATAATATTTATTTATGTTCGTTTAACCCGTTCGTTTAGCTCGTTCGTTTATGTTCGTTCGTTTAGCATGTTAACGAACAGACATAAACGAACACAAACACACTTGATTTCTAAACGAATGAACACGAACACAAATATTTTCGTCTGTTTACCGTTCGTGTTCGTTCATTTGTTTGGTTAAGTTAAACAAACGAACATGAAAAAGCATCCGTTCGTGTTCGTTCGATTCGTTTACAACCCTACTAACCATGATTCATTGAATAGATTGCTAAAGTCCAATAACTATGTTTATTGCATTGGTTGAATTAATTTGTCAAAATGTTAATATTAAAGCTTATCCTTGCTGACAAGTATATACCTAATCCAACAAATTTAATAATAAAAAAAAGGAAAATCTTAACCATGATCCATGTAAAATGAATCCATTAGGGTTTCATGAGGATGGATGTTTAGCCATCTTTGACTAAAAATAAATTAAATACAATATTTCTTTTTGGTATTTTAGATTGTGTAAAGTTTTATCTGAAAATTAAATATGATTATTTATTTAAATTTTAATAAATGTTCATAAAATCCAACCAACTATCTCATTTTAAATGATTAAGTCTCTAAAATTTTTTTTTTAAACTTTCTCATTTTTAATTTAAATGATTAACATTAAATTTTTTCTTAAAATATTAAGATTACAAAACTACTCAATCTTTCATGTCAAATGATATATTTTTAAAAGATATATTGGTAAGAAAGACATTTTTATTCCTTTCTCTCCTGTACAAGAACATGAAAAAGAAATTCTTTTCATTTCTTTCTTTTTTGTCCCTTTTTTTTTTCTTACCTTCCTTTCTTTTCTCTTCTCCCCAATTTAGAGAACACATCATAAGTCCTTCAACTATCTTTTTGAATCAAAAATTCATTAAACATTCTCTCATTTTGACTGATAAATCCCTTAACATTAAAAAAAAGATAAACTATCGAACCTTTAAAAATTAGTTACTAATGACCTTTTAACAAAAAAAACTGCCTGCAACCTGACTATAAAGGTCTCAAAGTAAAAAATTAAACCAAACCAGTTTTACCCTTTCCAAACCCTATATCTTCAAACCCCTCATAAACAACGGTATCACTCCACATCTTCACTTCCTGACGCCCCATTGTTATTTGTTTTTCATATTGACTATCACATTGTTGGCTCCTACTATCGATCTCCCTCTTTTTGATCTAATTTTGGGGGGTTACAACTTACAAGTAGTTTTATTTTAAGACCTTTCTAGTCAGTTACAAGCAAATTTTTTTTTGTTAAAATAATGAAAGTAACTAATTTTTAAAAATTCAGTCGTTTATTTTATTGAAGAATAGGGACTTCATCATTCAAAATGAGAAAATTTAATAATTTTTTCATTCAAAAAATAGTTTAAAAACTTAAATAATTTAATAATTTACAGAAACAAACAAACTTATTAATTTTGCTTTCAGACATCAGTACCATCTGTATATATCTTATCAACTAAAAGCAAAATAAAACTTCAGATTTCAACATCTTTTGTAAAACAATTAACACCTAATTTTATCGGATAGAAACCATTGATTTTAATTTTCCTTGATTTTCTAATTTTATTTTCTTGTACTTTTAATTTTTTTAAGGGGTTGATTAACTTAGTTTGGCTTTTGAGATTAAAAGTATACTTTTGCAAATTATAATCGACATAATTATTCTCATATTTAAAGTTAAATAATTTTCATGATTTTAATGTGTTCATTAATTTTTAAACCAAAAGTAATATTATATATACTATATTATAATGCATTTGGCTAAAACTCTTAAAAACTCTTAAACTCTTAAACTCTTAAACCCGCTCATCCCTAAACGATTTCATCACTATCCGATTTCATCCCATAACTGAATTCGTGTAACTAACTGCAGATAAACACAATCCAATACAGGATAAACATCTCATTTTAAATATAAAAAATCT